TAAAGAGTTCCAGAGGATGGGAGAGACTCTAGTGAAGTCCTGGAGGCGAGCATGGGAGGAGTTGACTATATATATATATACTATATATTCTATAAATTGATCCTTTAAAAATGTTGTTAATGATGACAGCCTTTTAACTTTTACAAATGGTTTGTATGCATCTTCCACAGCCTACATCCAATGAAACCACAGTACAACCTCAGGCTTGCTATTTTGCAATGAGCAAACACCCATTATGTACAGTATATCCCCATTTCTCATTTTTGAGGTTTGTTTCACAAGTCAGTCCGGGTCCATCGGTTACATTTGTTTTGAGCCTTCTAACCAATGCAGGCAGCCATGCAACCACAAATGAGTTGCATGGAAAGCAAGTGAACACAACTTTTCTGTGACTATATGGCAACTGTATTTAAGAGTAGTCAATAAATACCATACGGGAAGAGGAACACCCAGAAGGCAACAGCGCACAGTATAGATGTAACAATAAATTGCTGGCCATATTCTTTCCTCTCCTTTACTTTTTCATTCTTTTTTTCTTAATAGCGATTATTTACCAGGCTGATTTGTACTGCTGACCTGAAAAAAATTTGCTTAGAGCTTAGCGGCTCAAACCCACACACAAGTACTCACATAGCCAAATGAGTCAGATGAGTGAAGCTGGCCAGACACGGATCAAATTCATTTCCTGCTAAATAAGCCAAAATTCCATTTGTTAGTGGTCCTACTGTCAGGAACCATAGCACCTCCAGGTGGCGCTGGAACTAGGCACTGCAGTTCCTGCCCTCACCTGCAGGTGTTTCCAGGCACCCAGGAGCTGTCAGGTACCAGACCACCACTGGGTGGTGCTGGAAAGTGCAGCTCCAGTGCTCACCTGCAAGTGTCTCCCAGCTGTCAGCGCTTATCGACCACCTGGTGCTACCTGGGAAGGGTATTTAATCCCTCCCTGCAGTCAGGACTTTGGCTCAGTATTGTTGCCATATCCTGTCCCAGTCCTGTATCCTGGTGCCCCCTAGTACCATGACCTTTGCCCCGTGGCTCCCCATGTGTTACTTTGCTCACTGGATTTAATTGTCCTGTTACCTTGTTGTATGTGTTTGTGTTTACATTTAGTTGGTTACTATTACTTGTTTGTGTTTACTTGTGGGTGTTGGTGGGGTTATTTGTGCTATGTTTTGGTGTGTATAATAAACGGTATATAAGCTCAGTGGCAGTTTCTGGTGTGGTCATGTATTTGGTCCTTTCGTGTGGGTACCTGCATACGGTGTGAGGACACCAGTGCACGGTACCTTGACACCTGCCAACACCACCCATCAACTTTTGTTGAAGGAACTGGGTGGAAAAATGTCAGCCGAACAGCTGACAACTGTCACGGTTCTGATGTCCTGACAGCTGCAACAGAATGCAATAGCTGGCAGGGGAAATTCTTCCATACATGCACTTTAACTAATTATTTATCATGGTAAAAATCTTAAGGTGTATGGCTAGCCTAACTCATCCCCCTTCTCTGCATGCTCTGTGCAGCCTTAAGGTGCCCACACACCTTGCGATAATTGTACCATAATCGCGGGAAATCCTGCGATCGTACGATTATCGCAAGGTGTGTGGAAGGCGTGCGACCTCTGCTACTGTAAGGTTGCACGACTTTTATCTTAGGAACATGTTCGAAAACCCGCCGAGAATCGTACGATTGTCGGCGGGTGTGTGGCATGTTCGAAGATAAATGCCGCACGGGCCGGTGTGCGCAAGCGCACACTGCCCGTTCAGCATTGCGGTCACCGAAAGTACGATCTGCCTGTCCAAGATAGGCAGATCGTACATTTTTAAAATTACCTTACAACCATCGCAAGACAAAAGTCTTGCGATTTTTGTAAGGTGTGTGCCCAGCATTATGTAGACTTCTAATTAGAAGGAGGTAAAAGGACGAAAGCAAGCAGCTTCTGTTGTGCTTTCTCTGTAGAACACCCATAATGCTCTCTGACAGCAGTGTCATGGGTGCTCCTTGAAGTAAATATTTATTTGTAAAATAAAGATTATGTATTAAGAATTTTAAAAAATAAAGTAAAACACCAGGATTTATAAATAATAAATTGCCCAATGCACATTTCAATGAAAAAGCAGCGCTCATGTCTACTCTCAGCACTGTCTCCCTCAAAAGCTCTGACTTGCTGTTGCATTCAGCGTCATTCAATCCCTGTTATGTGAGCCCAGGCCGTCATGTTCTTGCCTGTCATGAACTAGGGAAGCATTATGCCGCCTTGGACTCAGAGTACTACTGCACAGAACAGATGTCATAATAACATGAGCGCTGATCCATGTAAGACCCGCCAGCACTGGAGGTAAAAGAGAAAGAAGAAGACCTGTGATATCTCTTCTTTCTCCAGTAGTGGATGGTACTGCACGGTGTGACTATAGGCAGTTCCGAACTGACCGAGCCATCACAAGGACATGGCAATATCACTCCCAGCCTCATCCTGCACAGAGATTTCCCAGCTCACGGGACAACAATCTCAGGCCAGCAGACTGAGATCGATAGTCACTAGCGTTGGTCAACCTTGCAGTTAATTCTCTATACACAAAACAATAGCTGCCACCACGTGTTTTATCGGAAACACATATCATTCTTAGCAAATGCTGTGACAATTCACAAATTTAAACAAAGCCTATGATACCGCTGTCCATTCAGACAGGAATATGACAGGTTTTACTATACATTAGCGCTCTTCACGGAGACAAGGGTACTTTAAGTTCCTATTTTGAGCGTAGAGATAATATTAACAATTTTTAATATTAGGAAAAATATACAGAAAAAAATGTTAACAAAGAGAGACAAATATATAACAACAGTAAAATAAAAAGGAATAAATAGAGAGTATATAACAAATCCGGGGGTTTAGTACGTTCTAGAAGAGTCCAGTTCAATGCAACAGAAGATGGATCTGAATGGCTCTTTCTCCAAGTAAGGCTTGCAAAGATTCTTTCCTGATGTTTAAGGGGAACTCTTCTTGGATGCTATAAGAGCTTATCCTTTTGATGTTAGGAGCTTTATTGTTGTTAAAATGAGAGCGCTGACCGCCCTGCGCAGCCACTTTTTGTCGATCCTCTAGTTCGGCAAATGTTTTTGAACCCGAGTACCCAAACTGCAAACTGAAAATAAGTTTGGTATTGCATTGCAGTTTGGGCGCTCGGGTTTAAAAAACGTTCGGCATCACTGCCTTACGCAAAATAAAACACACATATTCAAACATTTATACACTCAATAAAACTCACACATGTAATGAAACACACACAATTATCACACACTCATTAATAAAACACACAGATCACACCCGTAATGAAACACACACATCACACACTCATTAAAAAACACATTAGAAAACACACCCATCACACATGTAATGAAACACACACACATCACACACACACATTAACCTCTTGCCGTCCGCCCGTTGTAAAAAAACGGACGGACGGCACTGCAGCATTGGCGGGTTGCCGTCTCCAGACGGCATTTTTTTCTGCTCGCGCGCGCCACCTAGCGGGCACGCACGGGCAGAAAAGACCCGACCATTGCACACACCCGTTACGGGGTGTTTCACATATAGGCGACACACACATCACACACTTATTAAAAACACACACACTCATAAAACACACACAATTATTAACAATAAAAATTAAAATAATTGCCCCCTCCCCTGGTGTCCAGTGGGACACTTGGGGATTATTCTGGTGGTCCAGTGGAGGATCGGTGTGATCTGCATCTCTGGCTGATGCAGACCATACTAATTGTGGGCAGCGACACCACGAGGGAGTGATCAGTATGGTCTGCATCAGCAACAGATGGAGATCATACCAGTGATCCTCTACTGGACCACCACAGGATGATTTTCATTTAATATATTGTCGGTTCGGCAATATATTAACTAGGATCTGGGCACCTGCCAGGTTTAAAGATGGCTGCCCCATTCGTGGAACACTGGAGGCCTGCGCGGGACACTTCAGGAGAGAAACTGGAGTGTGCGGGCCCCGGCAACTGGCACCTGGGCTTGCGTGCCACCAGAGGGGCCTCTGCGTGCCCTCTGTGGCATGCGTGCCATAGGTTCACTATCACTGCTCTAGGTGGTGTCCCTGAGCCGGCCCATAAGCCAATTTGGAAAGACTAGGGAAGGTAAGCAGGAGGGCCAAGTATTTTATAATCCTCTCCTCTGCACCTCCCAAATTGTCAATTCCATAACTATCAACATAGTTTAATAGTCTTACATATTACTATCTGATAACCCCTAAAGTATTGTGTGTCATGACATTAGCTTCCTGTAGACACTACATTTGATATGCTTAGGAATAATGGGTGTCTCAGAAGGGGAATTATGTGTTTCTAGCCTTCTGGACCTCATAGACTTGTTAAAATTAGTACGCTCGGACTCAGGAATAAACGAGACAGCTATATATACTTATTATTCAGATAGTTCTTCCAGGTTCAGAATTATGACTATTAGGACTATTTAAATCACAGGCCCAGATTAGCAGTTATCTTTTTGCATTGAAATGCTGAGATGGCCTAAACAAAATGTAACCCATCAGTGACAAGACAGCCTGTTGTGATTCAAAGAGTTTTAGCAAAATATGGCGAAGATGTAATGTTCAAATTAACATTCAAGTGCTATGACCTCATTACCGTCACACACGGATCACACCCACCGAATATAAATAGGAATGCGGGTTAGAACGGCCCAGTGGGGGGAAGTGTACACGAGGGAGCTTGGTGCCCAACCTGGGGATGGCCTTTAAATAGCATTCATTTAAAAGGATCATATCACTCGAAACTAATATGTCAGTTTTTGGTAGAGGCTGAAGAATTAAAGTACCTTATAGTTTGTTTTATCTTATGAGCACCCTTTTGGGAGACTCTGAAATTGGGTTACTAGGTCTGCATCACTACTGCGGCCATTATAAGGATCTCCCACTCTCCTGTTTGAATTTATCTTGACTTTATATAATGAAGAATGTACCAGGAGGACCTGGAATACACAAATATGTCCAGGAACACCAAAAACTCACAGATGAACAGGAATACGGTCAGAATATACATCAGAATTTACATCATATAGATCTATAAGAAGCCAGAAAACCAAACTTCAACTCTTGGGTGGACCGATTCTTTAATGTTAAAATTAAATTGTCAGTTATTTTAAAATGCATGCACAATTCTAACGGAAAATTAGTCTACAACATAGCAAATGTTTTACTTGTAGATGCCATCAGCTTTTCCTATTGCTTAAAAATGTACTAATTATAAGCGACTGGAATGAGAACCATTCAGCTTTCATGTTTTCTTGTGACTAATACAGGCAATATGGAGTAAGAGCAGAGGTAGCAAAACTGAACCCTTTTACATGGTGTACAGGAAGGAAATGTGAAATATATTTATGCTGATATACTCCCACACTACATGCAGCAAACCACTAACAGCATTGTGTGGGCTGATACCACTAGATTACTATTGAGCATTACACATCTCTTTTGCCTTTCACTTTCTGAGCTTCCACATCACAAACTACTGTTTATATGGGCCATAGTCCACTTTTAAGTGCACCTGCTTTTTTTAATAAAACTCTTTTATCACCAGTAAGAGAGAGATTCACTTACTTTATGGGGTCTATAATTCACCTGGGGATCCACACCAACAGGCGATATAGTGAATTTCAGAGTAAACGTAACTCACTCCCATGATGAACTACAATCTTAATACAAATTAGTAAACTAAATGTGAGGTTGTAGTCCATCATGGGAGTGTGCTTGGAGCGGTGGTTACTTCACAACACACACAGGGACCATGGGATACAAAAGTATCCACCCTCCAGAAGGAATGACAGTCTCAGCACAAATTCAGAGATGATGTGAGGCGGGGGCATTCTCAGGCATGATGTCACCCGCTGGGACGTCCTCACGCACGGGACGACACCATGTACGCGCGTAATGACGTCACGCCCACTTAACTGCCGGCGTCCATCTTGGTGATGGATGCCAGCAACGAGAGGAGGGGATGTTCATCCGGTGGGATAAGGTATGCCGCCTGGTCCCCACCTCTCCCATGCACCTGTTCAGATATCGGTCCATGACCGAGTGCCTGACTTTTCAGAGGGGGGTGATGCCAAAATGATTGTCGGTCATTTTGGTGTCAACCCCTTTGATGGTGTCACCAGTGGGGGCCGCACCCCCCTTGTGACGCCCTGATTTGAGGATCTAGAGCTGAGTGATACACAAATAAGCTACATTTTTGGTAAAGTTAAGGTACGTGAATCCATTTCTAAGATTTAACTCCTGAGTTTGCTGTCACTTTACCATTCACTTTGGCAAACCACAGACACTTTTACTAAATACTTACAAAAAAGCAAGATTACACCATCTGCATAATGATTACCCTGGGCTCTTCAAATGGAGTACAGCTTGCAATTTAGAGATGCCAGTTTGCTTTTGTGTACAAGAGTCATTTATATTTAATGATAATTAACAAAGTTTGTGTAAATTGTGTAACCCTTTCTGTTCTTGCAGTGCAACGATTTAACACTGAATACTGGATATGACATTATCCTCCAGAGATTACTGAATGGGCGGAAGATGTGTAAGGATGTGGAGGATCTACTAAAGCAGAGGTAAGAGCATCTATTACTGTTATTCACTAAACTCTATAACATAAACCTTCACACATGTATCACCAATACTCAGTATTTAGTCTTACAATACTGTAAACTAGCCTTTCTCAACCAGGGTGGGGTGACTCCTGCCTTCCTCAGGAGTGCCTTAAACTTGCACAGGGTCAAGCCTTCCCATGTTGCAGGCAGGCTTCTGATGTAAAAGGGGGGACTCTGATGTGGAAAGGGGGCGCTTTTAAAAGGAAAAAATGGCTTCTGAAATGAAGGGGGCTGCTAAAAGAAGGGGGCTGCTAATGTGAGGGGGGCTCCTGATGTCAAGGGGGACTCTGATGCAAAAGGCGGGATGTCAATGAGGTGGCTCTGATTGAAAGGGGGATCCTGATTTCAAGAGAGAATCCCAATTTTACACTTAGGGGTCTATTCACAAAGCTGCCGAAGGATCTGGCCGTAGCTTCGGCCGATCCTTCGGCTAGCTTCGGCACCAGGACCCCTTCGGTTCATGCTGAGCATGTTCGGCTGATCCGAAGCCACACGAAGCAAGCCGATGTACGGCTGATTTCAGACAATGTACACGGTGTTCGGCTCACTTCACTTCTGATCGGTCATTCACTCGGCTGCCCTCGTCAGCTTTGTGAATAGACCCCTTAGTTTACTCTTAGAGTAACTTAGTAGTTCACTGATCTTCATGCTTCCTTGCTGTCCAGTGCATGGAGCCGGTGGCCAAGAATGGTAATAAAATCTAATGTAGGAAAAAAAATAGAAATCTCTTTAAATCTTCAGCATAACCTACAAATTTGTTTAGATATTTCATATTTCACTACATCTCCTTCACAACTCCTTGCAACAGAAATCTGAAGTTTTTTTTCATTGAGTGTGATGTAATCCTATCACTTTAGATGGGAACACTTACTGCAGCAATTTTCCTGGTATAAGTTTTCTCGCTGCCTTCTTTAATGCTAAATGGTAACAAAGATTAATCATATTTGCTTTTCTTTAAAGTGAAACGTTGAGTATAGCTTATAATCCCAGTTTAGGTGGTATCTGAGCCAACAGTGTTGGTGAGTGACTGCAGTTGGTAATGACACCTAGACACTCCTTATCTATTAGTAATATTTGGGCTGGTTTACTCAGCTCCAACTAAGAACAATGCACTATGAAACTGATGCTGTCCTCCCAACTGTCCTTCATTTGGAGGTAGTGTCCCTCATTTGGAACCAAACCCCTCTTTCATGTACCGGTTTCCTTTTCCCGTCCCTCTTTTTGGTCTGATGTACATATATCAGTGAAAAGGTACTATTTAACTACCAAAAGTATAAAGCTGGAGATAGGTTTAGAATTTCATTAAAAAAAAATCATTTTCGTAACATTCGTTAAATTTTCTAATAGTTAATAGGGGGTCAAATCTGCAATCGATTTCGATAATAGTGACAAAAAAAATCAAAGGGGCAGGATGGAATATTTTATTGAATTAATGATATTCTAACAGTGAATGTGGTTTTGATTTTGGATGCTCCATTTATTCCAAAATCAAATGTTAAAACCAAACTAAATTTGAAACAACATTCGTCAAGTTTCTGAAGGCATTATGTTCTTTTTTTCATTATAAGATTTTGTATACAAATGTTGAACGAAATTCTATCAGTGCATGGCCAGCTTTATTTTACACTAAAACTTTTATCTTATCTCTTAATTATTTTGTTTTCTATTTCAAAAAGCCAACATGATGAAAAAGTAATGGTTTTGGCATATAAATTCTTAATGGACACATAACTGGGCATGTGGCATTGTATGAGGAGGTGTCCCTCTTTCTCATCTCAACAAAATCGGGAGGTATGCTAAACTACCTTTTTGGATAACTAATCTTTAAAGCCCATTTCCACCTTTGCGGAGGTATTTTTTTTTTTTAAACATATCGTGTGTACATGAAGTAGGCATATGCAGTTGCTGTATATGAACATAGAAATTTACTTTTTTCGTTTCAAACCCTAGTGGAAGACTGTGAAGGGAATTTTAAATTTGTAGGATTCAGGCCCTCTAAAAAGTCCATAAAAAAGGTGAAAGGCCAACAATGTGAGTGATGAAAATGTACACACATAAACATCATCACTGCACCTCTACATTACCACAATAAATGCTAATCACTTACAAAGGTGGAAATGAGCTTTCAAATATAAATTCAGCCAAAACTTGTGTTTTTAGTTTTGGATAGAGTGGAGAAGGATTAGTACCTCAGTCAGGTTTTACTGTTATCTGTGAGAGATTTCCCCTCACTTTGAATCTGTTTTACCAGACAGGAAGTAGGGGGAACTTCTGCAACAAAGACACAGGCAGCAATAAAAAGTTGAGAGTGGTTCTAGCTTTCCCCTACTGTACTACTGAAAATAATTTTTATTTCATTAGATTTAAATAGATTGCATGTGTGGGTACACACGATCTCCTCTTTGTAAAACGTCTTACATTCTGTATCTAGCCATTCACCATTTCACACCACCTTAAGCAGCAAAATGGCTAGACATGCCCCTTGTCAAGTATGATAAATAAACAAAAAAGTTTTGTGAGCTTGAGATTCTTAACACTGGATCAAAAAGAGAAAAAATAAGTTTACAGGTAAAGGAGCCCTCTTGGGTCTTGAAATCTGGACACTGTGTCCCCCTTATGTCAGTTATGGCCTGTTCTGATGCTAATGCGGTTGTATTGTCTGCCTCTAGCCTCACTCCTTTTCTCTTACTTTTTATAATTTAAAACATCAATGCTTCTGTTCTAGATTCTGAGACAATTATCCCAGAATCAAATAGTCCCATCTTATTGATCTGTTTCTTTCTTATCAGGGCCATTGCTGAAGAGAAATACGGAAAGGAGTTAGTTCAAATTGCAAGAAAGGCTGGAGGACAAACTGAAATAAAGTAAGAAATGATGAAAAAAGTTTGAAACAAGTGAATAATGTCAGCCGATGGCACATCATATCAATAAATGGCATGCAAATTTGTATTATATGGTGGCTTGTTTTGCTATGCATTCTGTAAACTCAGCTATGTAACTACCATTATACTTAAATTTGTGATATGTCAGTAAACAAGCACTTCTTTGTCAAGAGTTTAGATACAGAACTGTCTCAACAAAATGATGGACTCTGATTAATGCAAATATAAATGATGATCCTGGCCTTTACTAGAATACAGAGCCCAAGCTTCTTGTGCTGCCTGTGCAGCATAGAAAGGAGCCTTCTAAATTTAGGCCCAGACCCAAGGCTTAAAGTGACCCTAAACCTTCAGATCAAAAGAAAAAAAAAAAATTAGTAGCCAACCTTTATGATTGTATACTCTCTGGAGTTTTTCCTCTGACATTGAAAGCAGGTCAATGAAAACACTTTTGTAACTGCAGGCATGCAGCACTTTCTGTTTCTGGGTGGCTATGTTTTCTCTACATGGCTCCATGGAGCGTCTAGGATAGCCAACTACAGAATGGATGTGTCCGTTTCTCCTCGCTCTCTGGACCACCCACAATTTGCTTCCCTGTTAGAAGTAGGCTTGTCATATGCGTTAGCCAATGTATGCGCTCCATTCCCCCTTCTGCCTCCTTCAGGTTGCTAAGTAACGCACTGTGTGAGTGCCCACTGCATCATAGGACATGTAGTGCCAAAGGGTGGCTAGACAGGGCCATGCATGGGTACATGCACTTCCATGAAGCTGTGGAACATAGTTGGGGCCCCATGCATGGTCTGAGCCCAAGAGTAGATCAAAAGTTTTAATTACACTGGGGAACAAACTTGTTCTTACCGAATTTGAGTGTGCTGGATTTAAATCTGAAGTTAGTTGTCCTTTTTGCGAAATTATGTCACCTCTCGCATGATGACATGGTCTATCTGAGGAATTTATGGTCACGCAGCCTTAAAATTAGGCTTAAACAACCATCTTGGCAAAAATATTCTTTATGTATTCACAAAAACATGTAGGTGCATCACAATATGCATTACATTTTGAAAAAAGGCAAAAAAATCACCTGTGTGGAGTAAAATATGTATTGCCACTTGTCAAATCTGAAACATTTATCCATTATAGTCATTATTAGTATTCACTACTGCTTTTTACTTTAACATATATTTTGACATAAATATGATAGGTTAGATTCAGAATAACTGATAAGGATGTGATGCAAAGTTCAAATATGTCCTATTCAGGCAAGAATTTGTACTTGTAGCTGTGGACTTTCTCAGGGCAATCTTGTTTGATGCTCCAGCAGTAGTCTGCCATCATATTTTTGTCCCATCGCCATTGATAGCACTGTTCCCCACGCATGAGGTCTTGGAAGCGCTCTGCCTGTTCATCACTAACAGCCTCAAGGTTCTTATGGGTATTGATCAAGGTGACTATTCAGGAAATGGAGCTTGACACTCATGTTGCACCCAATATCGTGAAAAGCCAACAGCATTTTAGTAACGAGAACCTCATACTTATCTGCCTCTTTGTTACCAAGAAAGTTTTGTATAACAGCCACAAAAGACACCCATGCTGCCTTCTCCTTGTCATTCATCTTCTTGACAAATTCCTCATCACGTACAGGGGAAACTTTTTGCTATTACTGTTTAAAGCCCTTCCATGTGCACCTTGCTGTAAAGCTGGTAACAAGTTGATGAGTGCGTTTACCATTTGTTTTGTTTTGCTTGACTCATCACGTACAAGGGTACGAATTTGAGGTCCATTAAACACACCTGCTTTTTCCTTCTCGAAACACAAAGCAGGAAAAGCAGAAACTACTGTATATGTTGAAAACATTCCCCATCAACACTTAATGCCTTCATGAACTGTGTCATCAAGAAAATCAGTTAATCAGATACATCTCTATAATCCAAAATTAACAAAAAAGATAAAGAATATTGATGTATGTAAAAGAAAAGGCAGGGGCGCCCACAGTTTTTCGTCTGGAGATCTACTTTTCAAATGACGAGCTCAATGAGATCTACCAACAAAAAAAAACCTGCATTCAGGGGCGGGAGGGGGCGTGGAGGTGCATTGAAGTCAATGGCACCGCAGCCAGGCCCTTTGCCCACAGTGGGACCGCATGCACCCGGAACCCAGGCACATTAGTGCCTGCGTTCCAGTCCAGTGTGATCCGCAAAAATGCTGCAAGCACTATGTTTGCAGATCGCACTGGACTGGAATGCAGGCACTGATGCCTGCGTTCCGGGTGCAGGCGATCGCACTGTGGGCGGGGGGCATGGCTGCGGTGCCATTGACTCCAGCACGGTTAGCTGCTGGAATGCACTGTATTGCATAGTAAACTCCCTCCTGCGTTCTGAAGTCAATGGCACACCAGCCATGCCCCCCTTCCCAGCCGCAGTGCGTTTGCGTGGCTGCGGTACCATTCAGTTCAACACACCGCCGTGCCTGCTCCTGCCCAAACTGCACAAACGGAGCTAGCCGCAATGCGTTCCATTGCGTTCCGGACACAATAGGACCAGAACGCACTGAGAATGGTGTGAATGAGGCATTAGAAATCTTAACTGCGCAGCCCCTTAGCTATACTATCAGCTCCCACTCAAGCCAATAGCCTACCTGCTTCTGCCTCTTCAGGTGTAGTCACAACGTGCAGACTGGGAGGAGTCTCTAAAGCTGCAGGCGGGGAGGGGCCTGTCAAATGTGCTGAAGAGAGGGAGGAGCTGCTAGTGCTGGATGCAATGGACAGTGAAGCAGACGGCGGAAGGGCGGGCTGAGGGGCGGGAGCAAGTGTCTCATGGAAGTGGCGGCACGCCTACTCTACGCTACCGCTACATACAGGAGGGGAGAGCCGAATGTGTCGGATGTTTTAGCGTCCGACATATTCGGGTAAACGGAGCACGGGACAGGGAGCTTAATGTGTATAGTTTATACATAATTTACATGATATAATTGAACTAATTCCAGTTTCATTTACTGTGTAGCCCCATTGACTACATTTCACATGCTCAACGACTCGCCCGAATAACATTAGTGTACCGGAAAATGTGGTGGCTGCGAGCATGTTATTTTTAACAGTGTTTCTAATTTTCCACTGCGTATACATAATGCAGGCTGTATTATGTGTATGCCTGAAGTGTGCATCTTGAATTTCTATTTGTGTTGGGTGTGAAAAATATCACTTACATTTACTTACTTACTTACTTACTTACATTCTGGGCGCATTTGACCTTTGCATTTGCAGTTAAAATGATTACAATAGTATGTACCAGACTCCATACTATTGTTTAGACATGTAAGCCGGCAAAAAATTTGTTTAGTTTTGTTTTGTTTCGGATTTTTAGTTATTTCATTTTTCGGGTTTCGGGTCTGAAAGTCACTGGGGGGAATTTATCAAGGCACTTGCGACAGTTTTCTGTCCTATCTCATTAAATTACTTTTTTCCTCGTTATTTGCGCCTCATTTATCAATGCAGCCTAAGCCCTGTTAATAAATGTCATTTTTGTGAGACATCAGAAAACTTTCACAAAACTGTCGTATGACCATTCTAGACAGCGGTAACTTACCGAATATATCGCAAACTGACTCCCCCAGCCGAAACTGTCGCATATACCCCCACGATGCTGCAGGTGCCTCCCCCTCTGCCTGAGTGTAAAGTTCACTGTGCTTCCACGTTTCCAGAAACTCTAGACCTCATTAATTAAATCCGAAATCATTAATAATATAATCCCTCCGATCCGTCCATATCAAATCAGGCACCGCAGGTCACCTCTTTTCCCACTGTTCCATACAGTTAGCACCCCTTTTTGCCTTTTCCACCTATACTTTCAGTCCATCGCTATCTATTTCTATCCTTTTCTGTGTCAGAACAAATTTCCATTACCTTTCTTCTTGTCAATGTTTCCTCCGTAATCTTGCTCCTCCCGGTTTCCAATACACTAAATGTGTCACCCACAGTTTACTCTGCTTGCTGGGTAAACCACTTCCCCCTATGTAAAAAATTATTTATTTATTTTTTGTTTTAGCGGCCCGGCGCCGTTCTTGAAAAAAACAAAACAGCAAATGCATAGGAATGCATAGCTACGCTTCTATTGGCTATTCTAATGTACAATAGCCAATCACAGAATAGCTATTGCACCCTCCCACTGCAGCTGTCAATCAACAGAAGAACTTAATAACAGTTCCAAAATGTAATAACATCAGTTCACAACTGACACATTGTTTTTCACAGGCTATAATTGCTAAGTGCAATTCTTTCACTGATAATTTTTGATGTTAGCACACTTTTTAGTTATACCCATCACAAAGTTTTGAATCTGAAAACATATTACTCGTGTTTTATTTTTATTTTTTTTCAAATTCTTTATTTAGAGGTTTTTTTATATTTTTCCAGAGGTATCACAGAAGGGATAAAGAAAAAATAACCAAGGTACAACAATGGCCCCTCAAGGGCCCAAAGGGTGGGGTGTAGTACACATTACAGAATAAATGAAATAACAAATATCCAATCTAGACCCGTATGGTGGCATTGAGAAATATAGGTGGGGGCCTCGGATATAGTATCAATGGAGAGTATTAGATGGAGGTGAGTGGGGTCATCTTCCGGAGTCCCGCTACTTGGGTACGAGAGTGGGTCTCATTACTGTCTGAAAGTGGTACATAACCGGGGTTTGGGGGGTGGGGTGGGGCAGGTAGGAAGGATGGAGAGAAAAGGAGTGCATTGCATAGTAGGGGGGGAGTAAAGAGGAGAAGGGAATTCCACTTAGTATGGGAGGGGCGGCTGAAGAAAAGATGCGGGGTATATTCTGGCCTGGAGATCTACCCAGTGTGTCCTTGGCGTAGGGCCGTATAAGCCGGAGAGTTGAAGAATTCAATCCAGTAGTACCAAGTGTTTCGGAATTTGGCTGGGGTGTTGTTGAGTGAGCGTGTGAGGTCTTCCATGAGGTAGATGTCGTGCACTTGGTCTAACC